GGATTAGCACATGTGAGCTGCAGGATCCTGATGGATTCCTGATCCCAGCTCACTCCTGCTCTTCCTGAATTCCAGTCTATTTCAGGATACTTTCTAACTTCCTGGCAGGTGAATGTCTGACTGTGACACAGATTATTCCCACAGGACACTGGTGAAAAAAAAAAGGGATATTTCCCTTCCTTTATCCTCCCTGCTAGAATCTGTTGTGGCTCAGCTTCTCTCTCTCTCTTCCCAGCTGGACACGGAATACCGGAAAAAATGGGATTCCCTGGTGATCAAACTGGATGTGATTGAGAGGGATGTGGCCACGGGCTCAGAGGTGATCCACTGGGTCACACACTTCCCAGTGAGTACTTCCCACTCCAGGAATCCTCCCCCTGGGAAGGGCCAGGAGCAGTGCTGATCCATGTTCTCCCTGTTCCTCAGTATCCCATGTATTCCCGGGATTACGTCTACGTCCGACGCTACAGTGTGGACAAGGAGAACAACCTGATGGTGCTGGTGTCAAGGTAGGAGTGAGTAGGACAACTTCCCAGCATTCCCATTCCTAAAAAAACCCCCATTGGGAGCAGGGAATAAATGTCATGAACTCTTCCTTAATCATCATCAAACCCAACGAGATCAATTTGGGAAATTAAACACTTGTTTTTGGGAAAGCTCCTTGTTTTCTTACTCCCAACCTCCAAAATGCCAATGGATTCTGGGGGTAATTCCCACCTGGAGCTCACCTTGGGCTGCTCCTCCTTGTCCCAGGGCTGTGGAACATCCCAATGTTCCTGAAGATCCCGAGTATGTCCGGGTGAGGACCTACGAATCCCAAATGGTTATCCGTCCCCACAAGACCTTTGATGAGGTATGTTTGGGAAAGGGAGTGGAAAACCTGGCACAGGCAGGATCCAACTGCTGCTCCATAGGGAGCTGCTCCTTCTCCCACCATGATCCCAGCACTGCAGTAGTCCAAAAATTGGGAACGTCTAGAGTTAGGGATTGGAATGACTGGAGCTTTGAGGTCACTTCCAACCCAAACCATTCCATGCTTCTGTGAAAAAAGGGATGAGCTTGAAGCCTTGAGCCTCCCAAGCCTCATTCCAAGCACAAAATTTTTGGAAAAATCCTTTGTGGGCTGTTCCCATGGCATCCAGAGCCTGGATAGGGCTTGGAACACTCCAGGAATGACACTCCCTCCTCCAAAATTCCCTCCTGGAGTGATCTCCCTACATCTTCCCAACTCCTCAACACCCTCTGCAGGAGGCTCCAAAGGGAATCCCTGTTCCCCTGGGGGATGTGGGTGGCTCCAGTGAGAATTTGGGATGAGGATGGGGATCCCAGGAATGTTTGTCTCTCCCAGAATGGCTTCGATTACCTCCTGACCTACAGTGACAACCCCCAGACCGTGTTCCCGCGCTACTGCGTCAGCTGGATGATGTCCAGTGGTAAGTGCCTGGAATTTCCGTGGGATTCTCCCTCTGGAGCAGACCTGGGCCCTCCTGCCTTCCCTTCCTCCTCTGGAGAGGGGTGGGAAATGGGTGGAGGCAAGGGGAAAATGAGGAGGGGGAAGGAAAATTAGGAAGGAAAAGAATTGGGAGGGGAAAGAAAAAAATTGGGAGGGGAAGGAAAAGTTAGGAGGGAAAAGAAATTGGGAGGGGAAGGAAAAGTTAGGAGGGAAAAGAACTTGGGAGGGGAAGGAAAAGTTAGGAGGGAAAAGAAATTGGGAGGGGAAGGAAAAGTTAGGAGGGAAAAGAAATTGGGAGGGGAAGGAAAAGTTAGGAGGGAAAAGAACTTGGGAGGGGAAGGAAAAGTTAGGAGGGAAAAGAACTTGGGAGGGGAAGGAAAAGTTAGGAGGGAAAAGAAATTGGGAGGAGAAGGAAAAGTTAGGAGGGAAAAGAAATTGGGAGGAGAAGGAAAACCTGGGAGGGGGAAGAAAAGTTAGGAGGGAAAAGAAA